CATACATGACTGTGTGAAAAGTCAAGTCTCAACTTTCTTCAATATGAACAAATAACAGTCATGATCACAAAAGTGACAGTGGACTTCGGATAAGAGCGAGCGTGAAAGGCACTCTGTTTGGCAATGAAGCATACACCATATGCGCTAACATTCAGTAAAACTGATACTGTAGTAGACTGGACTAGACAGTACATGTAGTTCAGTTGATCATTATATCTACATAGTAACACAACACTGTGTGTCATAGACAATCTGTATACATCATGTCTATACAAGTGATGTCACAGTGTTGTGATCAATGACAGGTAGTGTGCTGTTGGAGTATCTCTTACTGCAGTAGCTGCTTGAAATGATCCCTGTCCAGTGCTCGTCACTTTCACCAATCTCAACTGCTAAACACTATCCAGTAGAGACCTTCAGAAGCTCAGCTAGCCCTGTAGAGTGTACAACGGGGGAATCGCATGTGCACACACAAACACACACACACATGCATGTGGACACATACACAGGACACACGCACATGTCGGCACACATACACACAAACACAGGCATGCATGCAGATGCGCACACAGCAGACATGTACACAAGTCCACACATAAAACACACACACTCTGAAATCTGTCAACTCCTTTAAGAGACGCCGCAAGTTAAATGGCCCGAAATGGCCATGTCAGTCTTTCCGGGAAAAGATAGAAAGATGCCCAAAAGGAGTCCTACAAAAGTGACTCCATTGGTTATTGCCCTACCCAACAGCCACCACACCTTGCAATCCCCAAACTCTGGCTGGACTAGATATGATGTCACTCACAACATCGCAGCAAGCGGGCCGGAGAGACCAAGGTGAAGAAAGAGGTTGGCATGAGGGGATCCGCGGCGTCCCGAGTTCCACTTGCATGTACCCCTCACGGCTGTTCCAGTGCAGCCACTTAACAATATGGCGTCGTTCGGTGCGATTTATGTAACATTGTGCGAATAGTGCAAATACGCGATGATTTTGCGTTTTTGGAAGAAACTCATGTCACGCCTCGCGTAGTTCACCGATTTGGGAAGCGAAACCAAGAGAACAGTTTTGAAAGCGCTCGAGCGAGATACTCGACTTTAAGGCAATTTGAGAGAGAACGAGGGTGGAAAGGCATCCTGGCCTGCCCAGTAAGTTGTCTTTCCTCTTCAAACTTGCTCGAACTACTCCTGACAGTCTGGAGATTGACCTTGCCAGTGATTGGCAGCCTCTGCTTGGCGTGCGCGCGGGTACAACATTCAAGTTAGACATTTCGTACTCGTTCAACGCACAAAATGATAGATATCACAATTCCCAGCTCACTTGGCCAGCTACTGTCTTCTTCTACAATACACCACATGCCAACTAAGCACTTTCCAGCAGGAAACAGCCTTCTAGACTCAACAGCAAATAAAGGGCCACGCTATTTGTCTTCCAAATCAAGAGAAAACGGGCTCCAGACTCGTCCCGAGTTTCTAGAAGTTCATGCACGGTTCGTAATGACACTTGAGGAAGACAACCAGAGGATAGCCTTCTACCTGGAAAAAAAATGGGAAGGGCTTCTTGGAGCCGAGTTTGTCAGCGACGACATAAGGAGTACTCCAGAACGAAGCCAAAGGTGCACGACGCAGAACAAACGTTTCTTGAAAAAAAGCAGGCATGTGAGGTACGAGCGGCAAGCTTGAAACAAGATGGTTATGATCCGCATGTTCCCTGGGCTATCCGGGCTAACTAGTCTGCAAAATCCAGGGGAAACCATGGCCTACTCGTGTTCTGACGATTTGAAAATTCGAATTTTCTAGCCATTAAAGCCCAATGGAGACTTTCGGCAGCCATATTGTTAAGTGGGCGGAAATCGCACAAAAAAACAGCCGTGCCCTGCCCCAGTGAAGTTAATGCTTGATACTAGTGTGGGCTGCACATTGCAAACTCAGATAATAGAGAGTATATGGTGCTGGAACAGGAACGTTCTTCTGTGAGTGCACCCACCAACCAAACTCAATGGTACAAGCACAAAATCACCCACTCTTGAAGATGCACATTATATGTACACGCACACACACACATACACACACACACACACACACACACACACACACACACACACACACGCACACACACACACACGTACACACACGCACGCACACACACACATGCACACACACAGAAACTTGCACACAGACACCATGCACACACACACACACACACACACACGTGCACACGCAGGCAAGTGTCCCATGGAGCCATTGCCACAGGGTCACATGGAACTATGATCCCATAATTGGCAATGCAGACATAGACGATTCAAACAAACCATGTTGTGACGCAGCCAAAACCAAAGATCTGGCGCAAGTACCACGGTGCAAGCCTTCCCCTTCCACAGACACAGCTGTGGTTCTCTTGTACCTCTTTTAAAGTACATGTACTGACATGAAGTAAGTACAGTACACAGTACCATTGGACCATTGGACCATTGGACGCCCATCGCCAGAGGCGATGATAGCGATGCTACAACAGAAGCCATAGCAGCTTGTGCTGGGATTGCACCGTTCAACAGCTTGCAAGGCTGAAGAATTGACCGCCACTATTCAGCCTGGTCTACACCACACAGCTATGAAGTGGCTTTTTCTGGCCAGTGAATCCCTACTTTTTGGTCTTTTTATTATTATTTTTTCCGCACACACATCACACCACATACTCCGGCATGCACTGGCTGTTGGTAACCACCCAGGAGAATGAAAGAAAAGTCAGGAAGAGTCTGAGAAAGAGAAGAAAGATGTGTGTGACCATAATCGTCGGGAATCGAACCCGCAACCTATCGATTGGAAATCGCTGCACATACCACTGCACCATATGGGACACAGTACACAGTACACAGTACACAGTACACAGTACACAGTACACAGTACACAGTACACAGCACACAGCACACAGTACACAGTACACAGCACACAGTACACAGTACACAGTACACACCACACAGCACACAGCACACAGTACACAGTACACAGCACACAGCACACAGTACACAGTACACAGTACACAGCACACAGTTTTTTTTTTTTTTTTTTTTTTTTCGTTTCATGCCGTATCCAGGTATCAGTATCGCGAAACAGCAACTCAACTCACTGACGCTCCAAGCAATGTCATTGTATACATCTGTCCCCGGGGAAAATTGCAATTCCGCGGCCGCGTTTTTTACCGCGTTTTTTTTTTTTTTTACAAAAATACACGGAGGGTAATGATCAAGTCAAAGGAAAAAGAAGTTAAGAGAAGTGCAAAGCAGAGCTGGAGTGCAGCCGCCCGATAGCGGACTGAAAACTACTAGTAGTAGGATGAAAAGAGCACAGGCGAAGCCAATATAGACAAAACCAGAGGCAAATGGTATCAAATGCGAATGCCCGCCTCAGCAACCGCCAAGGTGGGAGGTGAGTCCAACTGCACCGGCCGAAGATTCCGGGATCCGCGCAAACACATCACGCTGGACCGGAGTAGGGCAAAACTCAATTTGCATCGAACCCAAGACATAACACAGCTGTATGCTTCTCCAGTCTTCGCGGCTTGAAGAGAAGCTATCCGCTTGTAGAGCGACTCCGCGTGTTTGCCCAAACCACCAGTGGTAGAGAATATGGCCGGAACAAACGACGAATGCTCTATGTCGCGGACACGTTGCTCGTAGCAGCGCCGCTTCTCCTTCTCGTGCTTGGTGTAGCAGGAAGCAATGGAGGTGGCGCGGTTTGAGGTCGCATGAGGATTGAAAACCCTCACATCGATGAAGGTGCGCTCAAACCGGCCACCCCAGATGCCACTTGCCGCAACGTCGAGACGGGCCTGCTCAGTCTGGATAGCGGTGCGATACCGAAACTGCTCCCCAGTGACCGGCTGCAGGTGGGGCTCCACGGAGACATTGTGAATGTGAACCACTCGCTTCAGCATATGGGCAGTGAGGTCACGCACCTCATTGTGCCGCACCGACGGAAACCCCCCTGTGGGGCAAGACAAAGCGTGAGCGACTGAAAATGTGGCTCCACAGCTACAAGATGATGGCAGTCGCTGTGGAAGCCAGCCGTAGCGCAAGTGGATTCCGTCGCGGAACTCACCCTTGGTGAGGGTCAAGCCATGCCGCTTCAAGGGTCGACAGGTCAGCCAGGAAGAAGCTCCCTTCTCCGACGCTAGCGCAATGACCCGCTGCAACTCAGTATCCACAGATGAGGAAAGAAGCACAGCATCAGCCCGAACCGAGGCGTCAACTGTGTTCTTCGCTTGCTTCTTGGCAGCGCGTACATCGTCAATGGCGGTGCCTAATTCCATATCTTGGACCAAGATACGGCTTGTCAGGGGCGCGGTGATGTCTCGAGAAGACTGATACTGGGAGGCTCGCGACGATGGGTGGGGCAGCCCGAGACCGCCGAAGCGACACGGAAGAGCAAGGAGGCTGCGCTCCTGGGTATTCACCGGTCGTCCCAGAAGGGCAGGGATCAGCATGTTGGACACAGCATCATCAAGTGGAAGCAGGTGCTCATCCATAGCTGGCATGCCTCGGCAGAGAAAGGTCCACTTACTCTGTAGGCCATGGGTGTACACGGCGTATGCAGCTTGAGGCTGAGAGCGGGCATAGTCACTCAGCCGTTGGACCTGTGCGACCCACTCCCCGACCTTCTGCTGCACGTACTGCATGGCGAACGCGGATGACCCGATGGCTGCACCAAGGTAGCGGCATCCATCTGCCTGGATGGAAACACCAGTACCAGCGAAAATCCGGATGGCCTCGTCGAGGAGTGGGGGCTTGACCACTAGGACAGACTTAGCTGGATTTGGGAAGTAGCCATATTTGGGGCCCTTCTCCGTCAGCTGATCCCACCACACTCGGACGCTCTTCAGCTTGCCACCGGATCCGGCATCATCTGCATACCATGCCTGTACTGCTCCTTCTGTTGCAACAGCTTTCATAAGTGGGATGATGCCAATGGCATACATCGCCATGGCGACGGGGTCGCCCTGTGTGGTACCCTCACATGACAAGATCTTCTCGCCGCCGACGAAGAGGCTAGCGGGCTTTCGGTAGGTGTTGATCACGAGTTTGGCGAGTGATGGGCATAGGTGCTGGATAACACAGCACACAGTACACAGTACACAGTACACAGCACACAGCACACAGCACACAGTACACAGTACACAGTACACGGCTGTTAGCTGCACTTGGATCGCGGCAACTTAGTTTTCTGCACGTGAACCATGAAAAATCAATGCATGCTCATGCATGTTCATGCATAACCAGTCAGCTGGCCTGCTCGCCCACGCATTTGACAGGTAACAATTCCATCAAATTTGAGATATCGCTTCGTTCTAAGTCTCAAAACAGTTCTAAAGTCACCAAACCACGCTGGTAATCGATGGCTATTCAATGTTAACATCTTCAGGAAGACTTCAGCCGTTTCCCGAGAGTTTGGGCATCGTTGCCGTTATTTTTCACGGTGTTCTTCTTCCTCCTGTCTGGAGCTGCAATTGCATCCTGGAATTATTTGAAAGGTATTTCGTGCGGGCTATGGGGGGTTCCAGCAGGCATAAACTGACATCGCTATAGAATAACTGGTAACTTTCACCCTTCAAGGAGGTAGAGCAATTAGAATTTTTTGTGGCGGTCGTCCAATTTTTGTGGCGGTCGTGGCTGTATTTGTGCACTTCCAAGGCTTTCATTCTGCCTGATACTACTCTCTACTGTATGGGAATCGTTGTTTAGGCATATGTAGCTGTCTTATTTGGTAGATCTGCTGTTTTCAATCACTTGGGACACTTTGTCTAGCCTATTTGTCTTTCGTTCGTGCCATCTATCAGTTTTGTGGGGTGCCTTGACCTGTATTTGTGAAGTTCTCGAGTCAAGACCCTAATTCTTGACTGGAGTGGCGTCTTGTATTTGCTGGGTGAGCCCTCGTTCACGCAGTTGTACTTATCGTAATAGTTAATATCTGCTTGCTGGACGGACTAGCAGCTAGAATAGGGATGACCAAATGGTCCAAGTATGTACTAGTACACGATTATTGTTTCCATCATCGTGAAATCCTCGTTGTGGAATTGCAGTCGTCTGCCTTTGGCACTGAGGACATGAGGAGAGTTGATTGTTACTTCTGCTCAGCAATGAAGCGATCATCAGCTCTCTTTGTTCTAATTATTGAGAGGACATACCGGCATCGCAATCAAGTAAAGATTAGGCAAACCTCGCCAACCTCCAAAGAGAGTCGAAGATATTTTCTCCAAATGCAAAGACGATCTTTGTGAGTTTGTGACTTGCATTTGCGTGCATACATGAGCAAGTCACGGACCACGGCACGTGCGCGGTTACCATGCCATCTCGAACCGACGCCATCTTTCTAAGTTGCCGCTTCTTGACAGCCGTGAGTACACATCCCAATGACTTTAATGATTTATTTTTTTGAAAGACGTAAAAATGTTTGGCACCTATGAAATCAGGGGATGGCCCACGCCTGGTAAAAAAAAAAAAAAAAGAACAACAATGAGGAGCTACAGTGAGAAAAAGACAGTGATAAAGGACCATCAGTGAAAAGGTATAATAAGTTAGAAAAACAGAACGAGAACATGACTCAGTGGCCAATTCCAACGCCGGCACCGTCATGTACGGAGAGTCCCATAAGACGGCGACGGGAGCCTCGCAGACGCATGTCCACGGCGCTGAAAATGGCGAACTGAGTGCGCACGCGTACCCAAGCCATCATGGCAGAGAAGGGCTTCTCCCATTTCGCTGCTAAGCGGCTGGCGAGACGCTTCTGGTACGCACTGCACTCGCGGTGGAGGACAGCATCAGTGGAACACACCAGAGGAGTGAAAGAGCCTCGTAGCTCTTCAGTGGCATGCTTGTACTTCCTCTTCTTCGCTGCAGCTGCTTTGTTGGCGGTGGCATTCCAGGACAGGTTGGCCTTGGCATAACTGGGTGCGTCAGCATCTACGATGCGGTTATCGAAAAACGCCACCCGGTTGCCTTCCCATACTCCGCGAGCGAGCCAGTCCGCTTGGAGCATAGGCCGACCATTCCTGTCCTGTTCCGGGATGAGGATCGGCTCGATGGTGACGCCGCCGAAGGCAATGTCGGCAAGCTTGGCATCACTGTCACGGAGGTCGTTGTGGCCTCTCTTGACAAGGCCGCCCTTATGGCAGTCAAGGCCGTGCTGCAAGGTGAATGGGGCGCCACATCCGTCACAGTGAGATGGAAGAGAGTTGGGCTGCCTGCCGTAGCGGATTGCCAGCTGATCCCAAAACTGGGTTGCGGACATGTCGTAGCCTTCCTGACGGAGCGGTAGGACGGTCAGCCAGCCGGAAGCATGTCCGTCGACGATGCGGGAGAGTACACAGCACACAGTACACAGTACACAGCACACAGTACACAGTACACAGCACACAGTACACAGCACACAGTACACAGTACACAGTACACAGTACACAGCACACAGTACACAGTACACAGTACACAGCACACAGTACACAGCACACAGCACACAGTACACAGTACACAGCACACAACACACAGTACACAGTACACAGCACACAGTACACAGTACACAGCACACAGTACACAGTACACAGCACACAGCACACAGCACGCAGCACGCGCAGCAAACACTCACTCATGTGAGCCAAAGACAGCACTCTTAACTTACTGCGACATGCAATGACTGAGTGCTGCCAGCATAGCACAGTGTTGGTTGTGTTCACTTTGGTGTTCATCAGTTTGACGATGTTTGCCACACAGGTAGGCCATGCCACAACGAGGACATGCTGTGATGTTGTCCAGGTCATAGCAGACAAAACATGCTGCTACACGTGGACACCATTCCCGCAGTGCAATGTGGTGATCAATGCTCACTTGACCTCTCTTGGATCGATGATGTAGGGCAGCAATGAGAGAGATGTATAGTAGAGGACTGTCCGCAGTTGTTGGTGGTAAGTACACAATTCCAGACACTGAGAGACCAGTTGCACAATTGCTCGGCAGGTAAGCACTGAGATCATTAACCAATGACTTCAATGCTGGGAAGAGTTTGGAAATATCGACAGTTGCAAAGACTGTATTCTACAGCAAAACGCACAACAAAGGACAGTGTAGAGAGAACGTAACTGAAGCCCATACAATCGAAATAGACTACACATCGCACAATAAATACAAATCAGGCTGATATAGCAGAAAGCAACGCGTTCCATTTCCATAGTTACCATGTCTTAGAAGTTTTCACATTCTCCTGTGTGCTCAGCAAGTAATGAGGTTCAGTGAGACAGACACTATACAGTAGATCATTACTGAGTACACTGTGTTGCAGTACACTGGATGTTTAGAAGAGTATATCTTTGTCGTTGTTACTACAGTCGTCCCTCTCTAATCCGGCACTTTATAATCCAGCACCCTCGATAAACCAGCACAATTTTCAGTAGCCAAAATGTCCTCTTCATGTACATTGCAGCAGTAAATCAGATTTGTTAATCCAGCACCCTCCCTAATCCAGCAGATTTTCGTGGCACAAATGGTGCCGGATTATAGAGGGACCACTGCATATTTAAATCGAGTGGCACATTCGCACTACAATTCTACGAGTGCTAGTTTGAAAATACGTTACGAATTTGAGCAATTGTTACGTTGTACAGCAGGTACGAACAATTAATATTTACATACTCACCGGTTTTCGTTTCGGAGTCCCGCGCTGTGACTCAGCTAATTATTATTTCTATTTCGTTTGCCTTGTATCGTCTGACTAGGGGCGCTGTCACCCCGTCGGGTGCGAGCACCCTTGGACAGAAGCACTTCACGACACAAGTGTTCATTTTCGTTTTTCCTCTTCTGCTTCTTCACAGTTTGAATGTGTGCCTTTTTCGTACTCTGCTTTCGATCGAACCATGCGCGGGTCGATCTCCATAATTTTATCTTCCGTTGCCATGACTGGCATTAGTACGCGTTCTGTACTCACTCGCTGCTTGGCACGCTTGCAGCGCGTCTTTTTTCTGTTGCAACCCAGTGCCTGCGTGCACGGTACGGGATTTGCGATGCCACATCAGCGTTGGTGTGTCATTGTGCTTCGTTGTTGTTTTGTTCTTTGCTGAGTGTGGTCGTTAAAACTGAGCAAGAACGGGTCGTTGACAAGGCGTGGTTTTCGATGTGCATGCCCTCCTGTCAACTCCAAACTATTGGTAGCAGAGGATGGTTTTCACGGAGCCATCATGGAGGTAAAACTAGAAGACCTCGCACGGAAAAAGCGAGAGCTGAAAACGGATTTCACAAATACGAGGAGAAATTTGACAGTGGAGTCAACGAATGAGGTGCCGAACCAAGATGACGTAAAGGCATGGAGAAGCCACCTGACGACAGTGTATGACGAGACCAAGAAGGTCATCATGGAGTACATGGAAGCGGTGGTGGACACTGACTCTAGGAGACATGCTGGTCTCCAGAAGCAGTACAAGCAGCTGGAAGGCCAGTATTCCGATGCCATGGAATTGGCCAGGAGTGTGCTCATCAGGAGCAGCAGAGCGAGCCTGGCAGCGTCGACCAGGCAGACTCCCAGTCCCAAGCAATCGCCACTGAGAGGGGCAACGCCGTTACTGGCGTCAGTGCGAGAGGAAAGCAGAGAAATTCTAGATCTGCGTGCGGCGCTCCAAGATGCACCGTTTCTTGGTCGTCAGGACGATACGCGGGTTATGTTGCCCAGGGCTGCAGACTATGGAGAACGGGTGAAAGTAGAGCCGGACAGTCGTGTTGTAATGTTCAGTGGTCAGCGTGTGGGGGAACCTGCCGAACCCTTCCCGACCGTTGCCATGGCAACCGCGTCAGCACACGCGCCACCGCAAACAAATATGATCAACAGCAATGCATGCACCGCTTTATCTGCAGCAGCCGCGGAGTACCAGCCACGTAGTTCAGTGCTGCCAGCGTCATTTGCAACTATGACCCCGGGCAGCAACGCTCCCGCTATAAATCAGGAACAAGGCTCTGCCTTCCTGATCCACGATCCTGCTGATCAAACACCTAGTATGATGTATGCAACGTATGGCAACAATAGTGCTAGGCCGCAGCAGGCATACATGTACCAACAACAGCAACCGCAGTGGAGTGCGAGCAATAGTGCAGTCATGTACAACTCACCTGTGTCTACTGGACCGTCGCACACCATCTCTACTGGAGCGTCACAGTACGGTGCGAGACCCAGCGCTGGCATGCAAGCACCCCGGACCGCAGTATTCGCCCCAGTTCCGACATATGTCGGAGGCACCGCAGCTCGACCTGCGCCACGGACTGCTCCAGCGGCAGCTGCACAGATCAACATCGCCAGCAAGTTGAAGCGGATCGAAATTGCCGTGTTCACCGGAGAAAAGCGAAAATACGAGCGCTGGAAATCCGCTTTCAGCGTTTGTGTGGACCAGCAGCCGCTCTCCACTGAATTCAAGCTGCTGCAGCTCCGACAGTACGTGGCGGGTGAGGCACTGGATGCCATCGAGAGTCTCGGCTACTCGGCAGCAGCATACGATGCTGCTCTGCGGCGGCTGGAGCGACGCTTCGGTGGGAGTCGCCGGCGCCTTGCGGTTAGGATGGAAGAGCTGGAACGATCTCCACCTATTCGATCCGGTAGAGCCCAGGACCTGGAGCGCTTTACCGATGTGCTCGACATGGCAGTGGTGACGTTAAAGGATGCCGGTATGCACACCGAGCTAGGTACCGGCATTCTCTACCAGCGGATCCAGCAGAAGCTGCCGGTGAACTTGTTGGCCCAGTATCGCCGCTGGATAGTACACCACCAAAAGGACGAATCGGTCGAGGTGCTGCTGGAGTGGCTGAATGCCGAGGCAGAAGTTCTTGCTGCCGCCACGGAAACTATCGAAGGCATCAGCCAGCAGCATCACGTCAGAAACCAATTGTCAACCAGCGGGACAAGTCGAAATCAGCCGACTCGGACGGCAACTGCTCACGACGCTGTGCAACCGCGCACGACCACGTTCGTGACAGCTACAAACACCGCTGGCAACGTGCCGACCGCAAGGTCCACATGCCAATGCTGCAATGGTGGCGAGCACCCGATCTGGCGCTGCCCAGAGTTTGAGAAACAAACTGTAAGCCAGCGCTGGGCAGCAGCGAAGCGAAGCAAGTCATGCTATAGAATATAGTATAGATGCCTTGCGACTGGGCACAGCGGCAAGGACTGCCCACGGGACCGGGAGTGCGGTATCAACGGGTGCACGCAGCATCACCATCGCCTGCTGCACAGTGAGCCCCGTCAACCGCCTCCAGCGTCGTCAACCCACGCCTCCGGAGAGACTGGAGCCATGCAGCCGGAGAACTTCAGTGCTGTCTCCCTCGGAAACAGCACGAAGGGAGAGGAGAATAGAGTACGGACGGTGACGTCGATTCGGACAGTTCCCGTTCAGCTATCCAACGGCAAGCGGTCGCTAACTGTTAACGCGCTGCTGGACGACGCCAGCACGCGCTCGTACATAGCGAGCAATGTTACCGCAGAACTCGGCCTGAGTGGATCAAGTATGTCGCTGACCATCAGCAAGCTGAATGGACAGCAAGAGACCATTCACACTGTCCCAGTATCGTGCACTCTGCGAAGTGTTGACGGAGCCACGTCGACGACTCTCCATGCGTGCACAATCGAGCAGCCAACAGGCAACATGGAAGTTGTAGACTGGCACCACCTGGGAAAGCAGTACGCACATCTAGCCAACGTTGAGTTTCCGCCGCTACCGTCGAAACGCCACATTGACGTGCTTATCGGTGCCGACTATCCAGAGCTTCACATGGCGTATGAAGAGCGCTCGGGTAACAGCCCTGAGCCCGTGGCGCGTCGGACGGCATTAGGTTGGACCTGCATCGGCCAAGTACAACCAGCACACCCAGCGGCGAGCTGCTGCTTCACAATGTTCAGCGACGGTGACCTACAGAGCAGCTTGAAGCGCCTGTGGGAAATCGAAGAAGTGAACAGCAGCACTACGAAATCATGTCACGCGACGACAAGGTGGCAGAGCAGAAAGTTGCAGCGTCGTTGAAGGTGACGGACGGCCGCTACTGCGTTGGCATACCCTGGAAATCCGAACGTCCAGTCATGCCTGAAAGCCGAGCGAAGGCACTCGGCCGTCTGCACAGCTTGGAGAAGCGGCTGCGACGTGACTCAGCAGCAGCAACAGCGTACAGCGATGTCATCCGCAAGTACCTAGCCAACGGGTACATTCGACGAGTGCCTGACAACGAGTGTGGAGGTTCTGTAAACGAATGGTACCTTCCACACTTCGCCATCATCCGTGAAGATAAGGCCACCACGAAGACACGTGTGGTTTTCGACGCAGCTGGCATCAGCAATGGTCTAGCGCTGAACGATGTTATCAGTGCTGGTCCCAAGCTGCAGCAATCGCTACCGAAGGTACTCCTGCGCTTCCGGCAGAACAAGGTCGCCATCATCTGCGACATCCAGGAGATGTATCTCCAGATATCCCTGGCTCCGGAGGACAGGCCCTTCCATCGCTTTCTTTGGCGGGATAACGAGCAGGAACCGGCCACATACGAGTTCAATCGAGTGGTCTTCGGTGTGAACGCGTCGCCTTTCCTAGCGCAGTACGCGGCTAGACACAATGCTCATCAGCACGCCGACACCTATCCTCGTGCAGCGGAAACGGTCCTTGAGTCAACGTACATGGATGACTTCATGGACTCTGTTCGAAGCGATGAGGAAGGCGTTGAGCTCGTAAGGCAGCTGTCGGCGTTGTGGCACAAAGCCAGTATGCACCCGCGAAAATGGCTGAGCAACTCCACGGCGGTGTTGCAGACCATCCCGGAGGAGGATCGCGCTGAGGAGATCAACCTCACGAAGGGAGAGCTGCCGAATGTCAAGACACTGGGAGTCCTCTGGCTTGCCAAGGAGGACCAGTTCACGTTCCAGCTGCAGCTGTCGGAGATCGGCTCAAATCCTACGAAGCGCGCATTTCTCAGTGCAACAGCAAGTTTGTTTGATCCACTTGGACTCCTCGCACCGTACCTCGTGCAAGCAAAGGTCCTGCTGCAAGAGATGTGGCTTTGTGGAGCAGCATGGGATGAGCAACTGCCCCCAGCAATGGTCAAGAAGGTTCTCGGCTGGCTTGAGCAGGTGACGGAGCTATCAACAGTACGTGTACCACGCTGCCTGACGGCCACGGGACGCACAGCAATCAGCAGCCAGCTTCACGTGTTCTCAGATGCGTCCGAGGTCGCATACGGAGCAGTCGCGTATCTGGTCAGTCACTATGACACTGGAGAACCGACAGCACGGTTCGTCGCAAGCAAGGTCCGTGTGGCACCAGTGACTGCTGTCAGCGTTCCGCGGCTTGAGCTAATGGCGGCGACAACCGGAGCAACGCTCGCCACATCATCCGCCGAGTCACTGAACCTCGACCCCCGAGCAACGACGCTATGGTCGGACAGCAGCAACGTTCTGCACTGGATCACCAACTACAGCCGCACCTTCAAGCAGTTTGTGGCTAGTCGAGTGGGCGAGATTCAACGGCAAACCAATCCTACCCAGTGGCGGTACGTGCCCACCGCGCTCAATCCAGCCGACCTGGTCTCTCGAGGAATGTCAGTGCAAGAGTTGGCGGGAAGCAGTTTATGGTGGAACGGTCCCGGCTTCTTGGGTGCCGCTGAAAGTGAATGGCCTGTTCAGCCAGAATTGAAGCCCCGTCCGTCAACTCTGGAGTTGAAGAAAGACAATCAACCGACGGACGAGTCCATCGAGCTGACTGCGGTGACCGTCGACCAATGCCACAGCGAGCTGAATCGTCTAGAGCCAAGCCGCTACTCCGACTGGGTACGAATGTGCCGTGTTCATGCTTGGTGTGTGCGATTCGCTACGAATTGCTCAGTACCACCCGCACAACGAGAGTTTGACGAATTATCGCCACCAGCGATCCGAGACTCTGAGGAGTTCTACATCAAGCGAGCGCAGCAACAGTCGCTACCAGAGTATGCTGCAGTTAAAGCAGGCAAGCCGATCCCCGCAACCAGCAAGCTGGTCTCGCTCAAGCCAATGACTAGGGAGGTTTTGCATTCCGAATTTCGGAATTATTTTCGACTGTGCTTTTCCGAAAAACGGTATTTTCAGTGTTTTGCATTCCGAAAATCTGATTCGACTTCGTTTCCAAGGGTTGCCATGCAAAACAAAATGGAGAGCGTCGAAGAGGTTGAGCAGGATCAGGGAGTCGTAAAATACCTGGTATTTTACGGCTCCCTGAGCAGGATCAAATCCATGTGCGCAGGCCAAACTGTTTTGGGGTGCGGTTCGAAGACGAGGACGTACTGATGGTGGACCAAGTGATCCAACAGCTGAAGACGAGGTTGGCGAACTACTGTCTTGTACTGTCAGTAGGCTCCATGGCAAAGGAAGATAGAGTGTGATGGAGTGTGAGAAGATTAGTCAACATCAGGGAGTCGTAAAATACCGTATTTTACGACTCCCTGGTCAACATGGCGAGATCAGCGAGAGCAGCAAAACCAGCAAAAATCAAACTGACTACAACGTGGAAATTTTTTCAAATAATCGAGAGCAGCAGAATACAAACATGAAAAATACACTTTTTTGTATTCAAATATGTACTCCCAAACATGAAAGAGCCGAAAATCCATTTTCGGAAAACCATGCACTTTCGCCACCACACTTCCGAAAGTTCGACTACTTTTTCGACTGCTGCCGCCACATTCCGAAAATAATTCCGAAATTCGGAATGCAAAACCTCTCTACTGACGACGCTGGCCTTCTACGGGTCGGAGGTCGACTACAGCATGCAGACTTCTTGACTGCAGAACAGCGCAATCCGATCGTCCTACCACGAGGAGATCATGTGACACAGCTGATTGTCAAGGCATGTCACGAACGAGGATATCACGCGTTCGGTGTCAGCCATACGCTAGCCGAACTCTCGTCGCGCTACTGGATCGTTGCTGGCCACGAAGAGGTGCGAGCTTGGGAAGCCAAGTGTGCGAGGTGCGCCCGGAACCGTACGAAGCCGGCAATGCAGGTGATGGCGCCACTACCTAAGGTCCGAGTCAGCCTGCCGCTACGCGCATTCGGCCGAGTCTCTGTAGACTACGCCGGACCGTTTATGACGAAGCAGGGCCGCGGCAAGACACAACACAAGCGGTACCTGTGCTTGTTCACCTGCTTGCAGACGAGAGCAGTGCATCTCGAGCTGTCATACGCGTTGACAACGGACTCGTTCCTGCAGGCGTACGTACGCTTCACCAATCGACGGGGAGTACCGATCGACGTCATCTCCGACAATGGCACGAATTTTGTCGGCGCCACCAATGAGCTTGCTCAGCTAGTCAAGCAGCTTGATGCAGAGGCTATTCAGCGGCAGACAGCGGATCAGCAGACTAGCTGGCGTTTCAACCCTCCAGCAGCACCACATTTCGGCGGAGTGCATGAGGCGTTAGTAAAATCGGCAAAGCGTGCTATCTCGGCGATTCTGAAGAACGCGGAGGTCACAGACGAGGAGCTATTGTCTGCTATCGTCGGCGCGGAGGCACTCATGAACTCACGGCCACTGTCCTACGTGTCGGCAGATGGTCGTGACCCAACTCCGCTAACGCCCAATCATTTCATGTATGGCCAAATCGGTACTCGGTTCGCACCTGCAGGAGTGGACGAGAGCGAGTTCAACCCTCGGCAACGCTGGCGTGTAGTGCAAGAACTCGTGCTGCACTTTTGGCGGAGATGGATGCAGGAAGTCGTGCCAGAGCTGAACCGGCGACTCAAGTGGAGGACGGCCGAGACAGACCTCAAGGTCGACGACATCGTTCTAGTGACATCCCAAGACAACCCACGGGGCACTTGGCCAATGGGTCGCGTCACCGAAGTGCACCCTGGTCCAGACGGACACGTGCGAGTTGTGAAGGTCAAGGTGGGCGACAAGACCTACACCCGCCCAATCGTGCGTCTTTGTAAGCTGTTCTGTGAGTAGCTTCTTGTTTGCCTATTTCAGAACAATAATCAATTTCGAATTTTTTGGTCACTGTGAATTTCGGCACAGTGAGAAGGGAGAGAAATGTTTAGAAGAGTATATCTTTGTCGTTGTTACTATATTTAAATCGAGTGGCACATTCGCACTACAATTCTACGAGTGCTAGTTTGAAAATACGTTACGAATTTGAGCAATTGTTACGTTGTACAGCAGGTACGAACAATTAATATTTACATACTCACCGGTTTTCGTTTCGGAGTCCCGCGCTGTGACTCAGCTAATTATTATTTCTATTTCGTTTGCCTTGTATCGTCTGACTAGGGGCGCTGTCACCCCGTCGGGTGCGAGCACCCTTGGACAGAAGCACTTCACGACACAAGTGTTCATTTTCGTTTTTCCTCTTCTGCTTCTTCACAGTTTGAATGTGTGCCTTTTTCGTACTCTGCTTTCGATCGAACCATGCGCGGGTCGATCTCCATAATTTTATCTTCCGTTGCCATGACTGGCATTAGTACGCGTTCTGTACTCACTCGCTGCTTGGCACGCTTGCAGCGCGTCTTTTTTCTGTTGCAACCCAGTGCCTGCGTGCACGGTACGGGATTTGCGATGCCACATCAGCGTTGGTGCGTCGTTGTGCTTCGTTGTTGTTTTGTTCTTTGCTGAGTGTGGTCGTTAAAACTGAGCAAGAACGGGTCGTTGACAAGGCGTGGTTTTCGATGTGCATGCCCTCCTGTCAACTCCAAACTACTGGATTCTTTCAGAATGGAGTGTGGAGTGTGGATGAAAACTAGGGTAAGGATAACGCTGCACTACCAGCTTACCTCAAACGTCTGCAGTACTCTAGCCATCAGTATACAAGACTGCACCACTTCTAGATCAGGTATCTTGTTCTGGCTACAGTTGTTAATCAGTGCTGTTGTGTGATCTGCTGGATTTGAGCCATTACACCATCTCCTGACATAGTCCATCACAATGTAGTAGGCATGCTGTGCTGGTAGAGTGATACCCAATGGAGTTGTGTGTGCCCTTCCATTTACTACCGAGGATATGTACTGGATGTTGTACATATCACCCAAGTACATGTTCAGTAGTGTGGTTACTGTGTCATTATCCATGGAGTACAGGTACTGTTGTACCTGGAAAGCTGCCACAGTGGTAAAGTCGTCATGGGTATTGAATGTGCGTCTGATAGCAGTTGGTACATGTTTCCACTCGCAGAGTTGTATACCCAGTGTTGTAATCAATGATGGTGAAATAATCCACTCACTGCTACAGGAACTTGATACAACCTTGCCCAGGATCACAGCAATGCATTCTAGCAGAACGCAGTACACTGTAGCACATGAAGGGACTGCACCATCCTGTGATAGTAAGTGTGATGAGATTACCCTCTCTGCAAGGTCTTCTACCACCTGTACATTGGGTATATCCTTGTTTAGCAGAGTGGAACAATACAGTTGAATGGATTTCAGAGCATATTCAGTGACACCTGTTGCAAGACCCATTCCCAGTGTTGTTGTAACACGCTGGTACACCACCTGAAGACGGGATAGTGTTTCCTGGCTGAGCTCAGCTTGTCCTTCCATGCTGCCCATGGTCCGAGATATGTTTGTTCTGCATGACTCCAATGAAAGTTGGATCAAAATCAGCTGCAGCTGTGATTGCTCTCCTGTCGGTTCCTTGTTGCATTTCTGAAGAAGTGTTTGGGCTTTGAGCTCCAAATCGTCAAAATTGGTGTCAGAACCCGCTGCTAAGCCTGCACTGATAAACCTACACTCGACCGTGGCACAAAGACCGTCAACTTGAACGGAGAGCGGTGCATTGTCCAATCTTTGAAACCTTTCAACAAACGCTTCAACAACTGTTGATTTCCCAAACAAAGCTGCAAACAAACCACAACACGTTGCTAATCTAGAGAAAGGAAGAAGTTCATCATCAGACAGCAGATGAACAACCGACAACGCATTCTCGATGTTCACGATTTCCTGAAGCAGTTTGTAACTCCAATACATTGCTTCCTCTGCACTGCAACCTCTACGATGATCAACATCCTTCACAAAGCCAAGGAAATGCTTGCACATTCGCTGTTGGTACATGCGTTGCTTGTCTTCAGGGCATTTGTAACGGCCAAACTCGGCGACGAATGGTTGCAAAGAGTAGCGTTTCAAATCCGCATTGTAATCCAGGAAACAAATCTTGATCAAAGGATCGAAACGTACAAGATGAACCACATTGGCATCAGTTGCAGGCAAACCCACCATCACACAAGCGCAATCAGATGTGAACGATGAACGCAGCTGGGAGAGAGCATGGAATGATTCCTTGTCATCCTGCTGTAATGCGTTGTATGCTAATTCCAACAGCTTCAGGATTCGATGATTCGGTTTCAGACCCGAGTGACGATCGTCGTTGAACACATCTAGACCAAGTTCCTGAAATAGCGATAACAACATGGTTGGAGTTTTTCGGCCACCTTGTAGAAGACCAGCTGTAATGCGTACAGCAAGTGGAACATTTCCACAATGATCCACTAACCTCCGTGCATCTTCAATGCTCACACTACCATCAACACATAGACCACGGAGAAGACCAACAGCACAAACCTTTGTCAGACCAACAAGACGGTGTTGTTGTAGTTTAAACTGGGCAGCGTGTAGGTCAAAGTAAACACGACTTGTCAGTAGGATATGAACGTTGTGTTGTTGTCGTAGTAGTCGTTGGATGACATCTTGTAGTTGGAAATCTTTATCAGCACCCGCCTGCATAGCATCCTCGGCATTATCCAGAATACATAACATGTGGTGCTGGCTACCATCATCATCCATGCCATCAGTTGATTTCGTTGTCATACCGCAAGTTTCAGACGAAGCCGGGTTTGTTTCGAGTCGGTTTTGAATCATTGCCTGGACAGCGTCAACACCAGCTACACCGCGTAAGTCAAAGAACTCCACACGACAACCAGCATTGCGACATGCATGTCCCACGGCAATGGCTACGGACGTCTTACCAAAACCAGGTGGTGCCACAAGACTCTTCACTCGTGTAGATGATGACTTGGACTTTGTTGTGAGAATGTTGTGACTGATCTTTGTAACAATGTCATTCCTGCCAGTGAAGTGTTCGTCCAGGTCTGGTAGAGATGAGTTGCTTGAATGTGATGATGTTTTTGAAACCTGAGCTGTAGTTAGTCTAGTACTCCTTGTTGTACCCACACTAGTTGCACTGGTTGTTGCTAAAGCTGATGTTGCTTGTTTGTCTGTTGCTGTATGTCTGCTGGAGGACAGTTGTTGATCAGTCTCACTACCTCCCACTGTGTGGACTGATTGTTGCGTTTTCTGTTGTCCAGCCGTTGTCATGGTAGCATCTATAAAGATAAAAAGTAGAGAACAGAACTAAAGTGAATGTAGAGTCTGTACAAGTATAGATCTATTGCTATATTTGACACTCTATTTCAAAGAGGATGTACCAGGCGCGTGCACCGTGTGGTTTTCTTGGAGCCCGGAAACCACCTTTTTGCGGCCAGCAATATTAATTTTTTGCTTCAGGCGCAACATGCGGTGCGCGTGCACTGTCACAGTGTGCGTAGATGCACTTTTCGTGTGAAAGGCAGGGAATGTGTAGCGCACGTGCCCACCACCACTACTGCTGGGTACAGTACAGTGTACAAGTACAATAACATGTGCAGTAGTAGTGTACGGAGCTTCCAATCCCACGGGTGGGTAGATGTACACGTACATGAACACGTGAAGGTCACTGCATGCACTGGTAGATCTACACGTACACGTACACGTGAAGGTCACTGCATGCACTGGTAGATCTACACGTACATGTACACGTGAAGGCCACTGCATGCACTGGTAGATCTACACGTACATGTACACGTGAAGGTCACTGCATGCACTGGTAGATCTACACGTACACGTACACGTGAAGGCCACTGCATGCACTGGTAGATCTACACGTACATGTACACGTGAAGGCCACTGCATGCACTGGTAGATCCACATGGTGCAATAAGTACTATCAAGTATCATGCATGCACCTGCACATTACAGTCATCTACGTGACTAGCTATACGGTCATGTTGCATTCAGGCACAGCCACTACGGTACCGGCGCTAGTGACATGTCCACTCACGCGCGATGCAAACAATTTTTTGCTGGACTCGACTACGCTGTACAATGTACTGTGCTTGTGCAAGGATATCAAAGACAAAGCGCGGACAGTAGGCATGTCGCATATGTCCAAAGTGGAAACAAGTGCTTTCATCTTGGTTTTGAAGTGCGTGCTTTTGTCTTGGACTCGAGTACGAGCGGCTGTCTATTTTGTTAGTAAAATAATTATAACTGTTCAGGTTTGTGGTTTTGAGGACAAAGGCAATGACTTTTCAGCAGAAGACTTTGTCCGCTCTCTGGGGAAAAAACCCAGCAGCGTCGCACCCGGAACGACGTGAAATTTCTATTATCAAACGGTTCCTGGCAGTGAGGCCAAGAGCGATTGTTGCCCCTGGCTTGATGGATGAAGAGGTGGCGGCTGACAGGCACAATGAGTCAGACAGTGACATGGATTGACCTGCTTCTTTGACTCACTTACTAGCAACAGTGTCTGAATCTTCCTTCACTACTTCGAACTACTTTTATAACGTCGGCTAGCCTATTCATTTATCCTGTGTCAGGCAAATGCCTTTGTACCACATTTGTTTTGATGGCTCGGTGGGACTGGCAGCCATAACCTTTAAAACTTTCTTTCAGTGTGTAATACAGTCGTCCCTCTCTAATCCGGCACTTTATAATCCAGCACCCTCGATAAACCAGCACAATTTTCAGTAACCAAAATGTCCTCTTCATGCACATTGCAGCAGTAAATCAGATTTGTTAATCCAGCACCCTCCCTAATCCAGCAGATTTTCGTGGCACAAATGGTGCCGGATTATAGAGGGACCACTGTACTGCTGAATCTGCAGGTAGCTTATTGCAAAATGGTAGTCCAATTGTTTTGGAAACCACCTTTTTTGACCCGGTGCACGCGCCTGTGTACAGCCTAAATACACAATTTTACAACTTGTAGTATTCTGGCAAAAAAGCTTACAACAATACAAGTAATGGTAGTATTATTGTCACTATGTTCAATGGTGTTAGTACAAGGAAGCTCAGACGCTCCTTTCGTTCCACATTCCCGATTGAGCTCGCGTACTTCAAATATGGATGGATGTGCTATATTATAAGTACTAGTATCAGCCATGGAAGCTGCTCTTGAGGGGTGGTCTGACGCCAGGTCAGCTAGAAGGCCGATGTTTTCCCGTGCATGCCCAGTTTTCAATATCTTGGGAGCATGTCTCTATAATGCTTTCCAATACACGTACATAATGTATTATCTGTTTGTTTCAGCAACACACTCAGCCTCTAGCAACACACATACAGCTAGCACAGTAGTCATCACTGGACAAGAACAACATCTGGGGGGGGGGGGGTAGGGAGGAGGGACTATAACAAGGAGTGCATGAGTATAGCCTAGCATTAGTACTCCCAGATAATTAATTGCACACCGAGTATTCTATGAGCGTTGGAATTGGTGGAAACTGGTCTGGCTATGGCCACACCAGCCATACCAGTGGTGCCGGTCCTGGGTAGATAGGAATTTTCACAGAACATTTCACTGAACGCGGCTCTCCATTCGTATAAGAACTTGGACGAAGCACCTGTCGTTTTCCGAATGCTTAGTCGAACGGTCTTAGTCCGAGGAGATTGCAAAACACCGCTCAACCATCATGTCCAAGCAAACACGATCCCGTAGTGTACATGTAGATCAGTCGCCGTACCAGTGTAGTGTAGTGTAGTGTAGTGTAGTGTAGTGTAGTGTAGTGTAGTGCAGTGTAGTGTAGTGCAGTGTAGTGTAGTGTAGTGTAGTGTAGTGTAGTGTAGTGCAGTGTAGTGTAGTGCAGTGTAGTGTAGTGTAGTGTAGTGTAGTGCAGTGCAGTGCAGTGTAGTGTAGTGTAGTGTAGTGTAGTGTAGTGTGGTGTGGTGTGGTGTGGTGTGGTGTGGTGTGGTGTGGTGTGGTGCAGTGCAGTGCAGTGCAGTGTAGTGCAGTGCAGTGCAGTGCAGTGCAGTGCAGTGCAGTGCAGTGCAGTGCAGTGCAGTGCAGTGCAGTGCAGTGCAGTGCAGTGCAGTGCAGTGCAGTGCAGTGCAGTGCAGTGCAGTGCAGTGTAGTGTAGTGCAGTGCAGTGTAGTGTAGTGTAGTGTAGTGCAGTGTAGTGTAGTGTAACTGTTAGTGTAGTGTAGTGTAGTGTAGTGTAGTGTAGTGCAGTGCAGTGCAGTGCAGTGCAGTGCAGTGTAGTGTAGTGTAGTGCAGTGCAGTGTAGTGTAGTGTAGTGTAGTGCAGTGTAGTGTAGTGTAGTGTAGTGTAGTGTAGTGTAGTGTAGTGTAGTGTAGTACAGTGTAGTGTAGTGTAGTGTAATGTAGTGTAGTGTAGTGTAGTGTAGTGTAGTGTAGTGTAGTGTAGTGTAGTGTAGTGTAGTGTAGTGTAGTGTAGTGTAGTGTAGTGTAGTGTAGTGTAGTGCAGTGTAGTGTAGTGTAGTGTAGTACAGTGTAGTGTAGTGTAGTGTAGTGTAGTGTAGTGTAGTGTAGTGCAGTGTAGTGTAGTGTAGTGCAGTGTAGTGCAGTGTACAGTCCATTCATAAAAAGATGGGCTCTGGCTCTGGCGAGCTCCCGTATTTGGCGATTTTTCGTGATTTCATCGTACACAGTGCAGTGCTGCGAAATTTGAAATTTGAAAAAGGGTCCAAAAAGGGTACCTGAACTGGGGTTCGAACCGCACAATGCACTGTTGCAGACGGGGTCAAACGGCCTGGATTTTTTTGGTTTTTCCCAATTCAATGCTTTGGGGGCAAAACCTGGCCGAAATCCTATTCTTGTTATGGCTTGCTTTTTGGAGAAAAAAACTTCAGAAACATAATTGGAAGAGGACTCCATAGAGGATTGCAGAAACAAATTCTAAAAAAACTCAACGTTTGACCCATTTATGGCCAAAAGCTAGAAGTTAATTTTTTTCTGAATGGACTGTAGTGTAGTGTAGTGTAGTGTAGTGTAGTACAGTGTAGTGTAGTGTAGTGTAGTGTAGTGTAGTGTAGTGTAGTGTAGTGTAGTGTAGTGTAGTGTAGTGCAGTGCAGTGCAGTGCAGTGCAGTGCAGTGTAGTGTAGTGTAGTGTAGTGTAGTGTAGTGTAGTGTAGTGCAGTGTAGTGTAGTGTAGTGTAGTACAGTGTAGTGTAGTGTAGTGTAGTGTAGTGTAGTGTAGTGTAGTGTAGTGTAGTGTAGTGTAGTGTAGTGTAGTGTAGTGTAGTGTAGTGTAGTGTAGTGTAGTGTAGTGTAGTGTAGTGTAGTGTAGTGTAGTGTAGTGCAGTGCAGTGCAGTGCAGTGCAGTGCAGTGCAGTGTAGTGTAGTGTAGTGTAGTGTAGTGTAGTGTAGTGCAGTGTAGTGTAGTGTAGTGTAGTACAGTGTAGTGTAGTGTAGTGTAGTGTAGTGTAGTGTAGTGTAGTGTAGTGTAGTGTAGTGTAGTGTAGTGTAGTGTAGTGTAGTGTAGTGTAGTGTAGTGTAGTGTAGTGTAGTGTAGTGTAGTGTAGTGTAGTGTAGTGCAGTGTAGTGTAGTGTAGTGTAGTACAGTGTAGTGTAGTGTAGTGTAGTGTAGTGTAGTGTAGTGTAGTGTAGTGTAGTGTAGTGTAATGTCAATGAAGTGTAGTGTAGTGTAGTGTAGTGTAGTGTAGTGTAGTGTAGTGTAGTGTAGTGTAGTGTAGTGTAGTGTAGTGTAGTGTAGTGTAGTGTAGTGTAGTGTAGTGTAGTGTAGTGTAGTGTTGTGTAGTGTAGTGTAGCGCAGTGTAGTGCAGTGTAGTGCAGTGTAGTGTAGTGTAGTGTAGTGTAGTACAGTGTAGTGTAGTGTAGTGTAGTGTAGTGTAGTGTAGTGTAGTGTAGTGCAGTGTAGTGTAGTGTAGTGTAGTGTAGTGTAGTGTAGTGTAGTGTAGTGTAGTGCAGTGCAGTGTAGTGCAGTGTAGTGTAGTGTAGTGTAGTGTAGTGTAGTGTAGTGTAGTGTAGTGTAGTGTAGTGTAGTGTAGTGTAGCGCAGTGTAGTCCAGTGTAGTGTAGTGTAGTGCAGTGTAGTGTAGTGCAGTGTAGTGTAGTGTAGTGTAGTACAGTGTAGTGTAGTGTAGTGTAGTGTAGTGTAGTGTAGTGTAGTGTAGTGTAGTGTAGTGTAGTGTAGTGTAGTGTAGTGTAGTGTAGTGCAGTGCAGTGTAGTGCAGTGCAGTGTAGTGTGGTGTAGTGTACAGTGTAGTGTAGTGTAGTGTAGTGTAGTGTAGTGTAGTGTAGTGTAGTGTAGTGTAGTGCAGTGTAGTGCAGTGTAGTGCAGTGTAGTGTAGTGTAGTGTAGTGTAGTGTAGTGCAGTGTAGTGTAGTGTAGTGTAGTGTAGTGTAGTGTAGTGTAGTGTAGTGTAGTGTAGTGTTGTGTAGTGTAGTGTAGTATAGTGTAGTATAGTGTAGTGTAGTGAACCGCGACTCAACCTTGTTTGTTCAAGCATGGCATATGTGACATCAATGGAAAGGCAATGACTTCAGCTACCTTAAAGGGGAAGTTAAGGCAAAAATTAAAATTTCACCAGTTGTAGTCTTCAGGGTGCTGAGTCGAATGGTCGTGGTCCGAGGAAACTGAGACGCTCCCTTCCTACTTGAATTCCAATCGAACTCGCGCACTTCCATCGAAATTGGGTGACTGCGCCCTACTAGATGGGTATTTGTATGCAAAATGTCACTAAAAGCGCCATTTCGTTCTTATAAAAGCACGGATGACCGCGATTGGCCCATATGTTGTAGTCTTTTGGACACTGAGTCGACTGGTTTTGATCCGAAAAGGCTGCGATGCAGCGTTCCTCCTTTATTCCCAATCGAACATGGTTGAACAAGCGGTCACGTGCTCCTGCTTACGCCAGTCACCTGGTCACCGTGCCTGCAGGGTACAACTTACTAGCCTGTTTGACCTTTTTTGGGTGCAGTCCTGTCACTTGAGTTGAACCTTGGTGTGAAAGTTGTCGCCTGCTGGCGTGGTGACCAGGTGATTTGGGCACCCAGGAGCACGTGACTGCTTGTTCAACCATGTTCGATTGGGAATAAAGAAGGAACGCTGCATCGCAGCTTTTTCGGACCAAAACCAGTCGACTCAGCGTCCAAAAGACTACAACATATGGGCCAATCGCGGTCATCCGTGCTTTTATAAGAACGAAATGGCGCTTTTAGTGACATTTTGTATACAAATCCCCATCTAGTAGGGCGCAGTCACCCAGTTTCGGTGGAAGTGCGCGAGTTCGATTGGGATTCAAGTAGGAAGGGAGTGTCTCAGCTTCCTCGGACCACGACCATTCGACTCAGCACCCCGAAGACTACAACTGGTGAAATTTTAATTTTTGCCTTAACTTTCCCTTTAATGATAGCTTGCATGCCGTCCTACCGGTAGGACCACGGGTCCTACCGGTAGGACCCAAGAAATCGCGCTGCAAAAGTGCTTTTGGTTGAGAAATTTCTTGAAACAATTGTTGAGATGAGGTCTTTGTCAGGCAAAGTAATGGCGCAAAATGCAAGACTATGTCCAGTGCATTGCATACGCGCAATTTTATCAATTGTCAAAATGGCCGCACATACTCCTGTCGGAGCGCTAGCAACTCTGTCCAAAGTGAATTTTGACCATGGCACATCAATCGTGGTGAGGTACTAATGTTTTTATTAGTCTGCCAAGGCAGTGGAATGCATAATTCCATACACCGTTTCCATGGTTACCATTTGCTGTTACCATGGAATTTCGTACTATGCTTTGTGCGATCACGTCTAAAATTTGTGGACTCCTTCATTAGCCCCTGAGCAACAGTTTAGGGTCAAGTTTTAGGTCAATGTTAGAACAGAGGCCATGCAGCATGTCTGTGTATGATGGTCCTACCGGTAGGTCCTACCGGTAGGACCGAGGTCTATGCAAGCTATCATTAAGCATCGACAAGGGAGTACTGGCCACGGGGCACGGGATCAGATAGAAGCGCGGTCAAAGTCAGGCCAAAGAGATCTCACGCGGGGCCCCATTTAACCCTTTGTGTACGGACTGTACAACTTTCGATCCCCTGGAATCGAAATTTTTCAAAATTTCAATCGATCGGAACTCAGTCATTCCTGGGTTATTTCCAAAAACTAACATATGTACGTTGAAGAGAAAACTCTCAGCTGTCCGTTAAACACCACCAAAGTTGAACACATTGCAGTAAACGTATAGCAACAACATACCTGTGGGGGACAAAATGGAGAGCATTTCCTTGCTCTTGTCCGCATAACCAAGTTCCTCAATGACAACACAGAGATCACGATAAGTCTTTAGGCCACCAGCTCTGAGCAACTGGATGAGCGCCTCATTATGATCAGACAGTCCATCCCGGGACCGAATTCTCTTTAGTCGCTCTATTGATGCGTTGTCAGCTATGAGATGTTTCTTGATCACCATCTGTCGCAGTCGATCTGCGTCAACATTGTTCAACCATGGTTGAATATCACACACAAACCTTTTCAGGTCAAACGGATTGTCTGTTGCGAAAGCAGCAAAATACAGAAGGCACAGATGACCATGAACACACAACTACACACAACTACATGTCAAGAAACAAATAAAAATGGAATTGCACAACACCGATAATACATGGAAAGGAATTTGAGTGGACACACCCATTCCAATAGCGCTGCACATCCGTTCAAGTTCCGCTATTTTACAACGTTTCGGCACTTGGCCATCGTCAGGTGATACGAACAATGGACACACACACACACACACACACATACACACACACTCACGTGCACACACACACACACACACACACACACACACACACATTCCCAGAACCGCACATCGGAGCGCTTTCGCGATTGTTTCAATGGACTTTCTCTTGGACCTACATATCTTAGTGTTTGAAAATAACCCAGAAATGACTGAGTTACGATCGATTGAAATCTTGAAACGTTTCGATCCCAGGGGATCGAAAGTTGTAGAGTCCGTACACAAAGGGTTAAAATGTACACGCGAGTTGTGACTGCAGTTTTCACCTGACCCAGGCTGGAACTGAACTCCCTAGCAATAATCTAGTGACCCATGACAGTGCTTCACGCCGGTGGCACATGCATTTCTTGTAGATCTACAGAATCGTCATGTAGATCTGGTTCCGGGATCGATTTATCCGGGTTCGCATCGCAGTTTGCGAATCAAAATTCACTGGCTGCGATTCGCTTTTCGTTTTTTATCGCCCAAAACTGCGATGCACTACAAAGACCAGTTGTGTGCAGTCTACATGCGACTGTTGTACACACTGCTGACTAGGGAGTAGTATTTTACTACTCCAACCAACTGGCCTGTCCTGCTCAGTCCGCGCGCAGGTCGCGGATCGCGCTCTTTCGATTTTGGACACTGCACTAGCACTGGTCGTACATGACTGCAGTCTTCTGAAGTTTTGTACACGGCGGTGACTTTTCCTGATGTTCTCATTTCTTTTTTCACTGTCAAGCTCAGTTTGTTTCTGTTCGACAAGGCACAGTTGAAGTAGATGGTTCTTAGTCTCATGTAGCCAACATGTCAGTGAATCTGATCAGTGATTCACTGTCCAGAAGAGGGACAAAGAACTGGCCGCGCCAGGAATGTCGATTCGTTTCGATGAAGAAAAGGAGAAAAGCGAAATTCGATGCGCTTTGCACGAAATGTCACGATCGTTTGAGCGCTTTCCTGAGGTTTCTTCGTCGAAGGAATCAGTGGAACTGCCCTGTTGAAAGACATTGTGTTGTGAAGAACTCGAAGTCGGATGGACGCTGAACATGTAACGTGCCCAAGCGAAAACTCTAACGTAAATATTCAGGTCGAACATTCGCTTGGAAAAGCAAATAGCAACTGCAGCTATTGTCCTCTTCTGTACGAAATCCTGCTATTGTACAGCTATTGTACAGCTATACATGTAAACTTTTGATGAAGGAAAACTGCTAATCAATACTGGAAGTTGCTAGTCAATTGTAAAACTGTGTAGCAGTGACTGCTATGCAAAAAAATCAAAGTAAATCGATCCCTGTGGTTATAACCTCAGGACTGTCCATCTAACTGAACCCACTGCATTCCCAGGGTCAGCTGTCAATACAATTGATGTGAATGCATGAACTGATTGATCTCTGTAAGCGCTTCTCACTGCTAACAAGTAAGTTGTTGTTGTTGATTTTAATTTTACTTCGCAAGGCCAAACGGGCAATGGTGCCCAATTCTATGGAAGCAAATTTCAAAGGGGAGAGAGCTACGGGTAGAGAGCTACGGGGGGAGAGAGAGAGAGAGAGAGAGAGAGAGAGAGAGAGAGAGAGAGTAAGTTACATTTATAAAGACAGGTAAGTCTAACAAATGAGGACTGAGACCTCTACAACAGGGTTTTTACGCCTGAAAACAGGTGCATGATTTAACAAGCAGGTTGTCAGTCTAGATTTTATGCGCAGATGGAGAAAAAGCGCAGAATTTTTGTAATGAGATGAAAAGCAGAAATGATAAGAAAAGATGAAATGAAAGCCTGCTCACAACCCCGCCCAGCCTTGCGAACTGGGTATGGTGGATTAAGGAGAGAGAGAGAAAGAGAGAGATAGAGAGAGAGAGCTACAGAGAGAAAGAGAGAGAGAGGGAGAGAGAGAGAGAGAGAGAGAGAGAGAGAGAGAGAGAGAGAGAGAGATAGAGAGAGAGGGAGAGAGAGAGAGAGAGAGAGAGAGAGAGAGAGAGAGAGAGAGAGAGAGAGAGAGAGAGAGACACACAGAGAGAGAGAGAGAGAGAGAGAGAGAGAGAGAGAGAGAGAGAGAGAGAGAGAGAGAGAGAGAGAGAGAGAGAGAGAGAGAGAGAGAGAGAGAGAGAGAGAGAGAGACAGAGACAGAGACAGAGAGAGACAGAGACAGAGACAGAGACAGAGACAGAGACAGACAGACAGACAGACAGACAGAGAGACGGAGACAGAGAGACAGAGACAGAGAGACAGAGAGAGACAGGGAGAGACAGACAGACAGACAGACAGACAGACAGACAGACAGCTAGACAGCAAGACAGACAGATAGAGATAGATAGATAGATAGATAGATAGAGAGAGAGAGAGAGAGAGAGAGAGAGAGAGAGAGAGAGAGAGAGAGAGAGAGAGAGAGAGAGAGAGAGAGACAGAGAGAGACAGAGAGAGACAGAGAGAGGGGGGGGGGAGAGAGATAGCCAGACACAGAGAGGGAAGCAGTGAGGTTAGAGGCATTGGAGGGTGGTGAGCGCATCAACATGTGGTTGGGGGTAGCAGCGAAGAACAAATTGCTATGTAATTTAGTTTGATAAGCGATTTTGCAGTGTCAACAGAGCGATTTTGAAGCGTCAACAGAGGAAACACAAAGAGTTCATAGGTGCACAAGCACGCAGAGAAGAGTAAATGACGTGGTGTGTGGACAGGAAAAGTCAGACAGAGCATTCATTGCAAGGTGTAGGGGATGGAGGCAAGCTTAAATTGCTGGGCAGCCTTGATCTCCCTTACACTCCTTGGGAGTGCGTTCCAGGCCAAGGCTGCCTGAAAGGCCAGGCGAGATCTGCCGGCTTCTGACTGTGCCGAGGGGACAGTGAGACCCCTGGAAACCTGGTGCCGGGTGGTGCTACCGGCTGATGGTGAGAATAGGTCCTGGAGGTCATACGCCACTAGCAAACTTTCTCATCGATCTCCATAACATTGGTGCACTTCTCTTTCCTTTCCTATTGAACATTTGGCCACACGTTTTTATTGCTATGTTTCTCGTCACCCGAAAGTCGAAAATCGTATGCGAGAGGTGGAAAAAAATAATTACCCCCAAATTGTTTTTACTAGACCTTTGCTCATCGACCAAAACACCGTGTAAAATAGCATCCAAAGTAAGTTAGCAACTAGTACATGTTAGGAGCTTCTGTGCACGTGCAGCTAGATTGCGCAACAAAAACTCCATGCAGCGACCGGTTGACTTCGCATCATGTGCCGTGCAGGCCAGGCCAGGGTGCACATGTGCATGTGCTGGTCCCCACAGTGCAGCACAGTCTTTTTTTTCTTCCAGACTCCTGAATCGTATGCACGCGGGTGACGAGAAACATAGAAGTAAAAACGTGTGGCCTTATACATGTACTAGGCTAAGCCAACCTCTTGCTGGTGCTCTTCAATGTGTTGCATGTACTCTTCATTACCACAGATCTCTCATCCATTATCTGAGAATTTGTCTCAGTTGTCTCATTGGCTTTTTGACTGGCTTCTTTCATAGTATTTACTTTCTGCAGCCCAGTGTGCTGCTCGATCCTGCTGGCCTCTATTCTTTCTTTGCTTGCTGCTGCTGCATGCTCGACCCTCCTCTTCCCAGCCTGCTCTCTTTGGACTTCAGCTAGTGTAGGTTTGCCAGCTTGGCTAGAAGTTGGTGAGTATTTTGTATCAGCTTGGCTAGTAGCTGGTGAGTGTTTTGTATCAGCTTGGCTAGTAGCTGGTGAGTGTTTTGTATCAGCTTGGCTAGTAGCTGGTGAGTGTTTCGTACCAGCTTGGCTAGTAGCTGGTGAGTGTTTTGTATCAGCTTGGCTAGTAGCTGGTGAGCGTTTTGTATCAGCTTGGCTAGTAGCTGGTGAGTGTTTTGTATCAGCTTGGCTAGTAGCTGGTGAGTGTTTTGTATCAGTTTGGCTAGGAGCTGGTGAGTGTTTTGTATCAGCTTGGCTAGTAGCTGGTGAGTGTTTTGTATCAGCTGAGATCCAGTACATGTACAGTGAAACCTGTCTGTTACGAATTTATGTTACGACTATGATTTACGCATGTCGTTGTATTTGGTTCTTGTCTTGTGGAGTCCAGTGTCTGATGTCTGGTGTGATTATGGTCTAGGTGTACGCGCGAGTATGGTGTGATGTGTGACGTTTATGGTATGTGGTGCATGCAAGAGTACGCGTTGTCAGAGTGTGAGGATGTGCTTCCGTCTGTGTGAGCGTGACTGTCAAGTGAATGCTGTACATGCGCAGTGCTAGTTTGGTCTGGGAATGAGAGTCATGTGTGATTCGTCCGTGGTCTGGTTGTCTTGGCCTTGGTCATGTGTTCTGTACGTATTAGTCCCTGATTGGTCGTTTCGATGTGTTCGCCCTTTTCTCTGTTTTATAACTTTTGGTTGTTTATTATTTCTTTGTCTTTTCTCCCCGTTCTCCCGCCCACCAGTTATTTATTTATTCCAAGAGATCTTATTCAAGAAACTGTGTCGTCCTCTTGCCCGCGTGGATGAGTCGGAGAGTGGTTGTGTGGCGGGGAGCGGGGGGAAATTCCTTTACATTGGCGCCCAACGTGGAGACTGGCTCGTACCTGATTCTACTTCTCCACAAGTAGTTTATGCTCGCCGTGGTCCTTTCGTTTCTCTCTTTCTGTTTTGTAGACGCTTGGCGACTTTATTATTTTTATTCCTTTCTCTTCGTCAACGTTTGGCGACGCGTTGTTTGTTGTGGCTGCTGGATACTCTACTGGACACAGACGGCATGATTCTCTGCGCGCTTCTAATCGGCGATGATGCGGGTGGTCGTTCGTTGCAGTCCACACCATACACCCGGTGAGTCAATCCCAGTGATGGATTTTGTTGTTACTTTAATCATGGTGTTCCCTTCGAGTCGTACATGCTCAGTTTTCGTAGTTCGTAGCATATTTCAAGGCAAGGGTTTGGTTTTGGTCTTTCAGTGAACGTGGTTTTTTCGAGTCCGTGAGCGTATATTTGCGGTGTTTTGTACTGGAACGGTTTTCTTGGTTACGAGTTGGTTCATAGCTGGGGTAGCCTTTCAGTGAGCGTTTTGTCATTTTTGTGTCCACTGGCGGGTCTCTCCAGTTCGCCGTGGTGGGCGCCCGATCATGGTGAGCCACGGCCTACCCGGTGAGCTGGAGGGATCCCTGCGTTGTAATGGTTTGCCTTGCGGGTATTTTTTTCTTAGCTTGATAGGTTTTGGCAGGCGGGGTCCCTGCGTTTTCGAGTTCCTGTTTTTTCTTTGCGTACTGGCAGCCATTGGTTTGTTTTGTCTATACTCTCCTCACTGTTTGATCCTACATGCCTGCTGTGTTCTGCTGTCTTCTGATTTGTCCATATCGAACTGGCCAGACGACCAAGGGACCTACTCATACTCTACACGGTCCCCGACGACTGCCGCCTGCTCATCATTCTCCTCCTGTCGTCTTGTTTCTTTTCTCTGATGTTTGTGATTTGTTCTGCCTGTTCTTTATTTTCCCTGAGTCGAGAGTCGAGGTCGACTCTCCGCAAAGGAGAGGGCTATGTTACGAATTTATGTTACGACTATGATTTACGCATGTCGTTGTATTTGGTTCTTGTCTTGTGGAGTCCAGTGTCTGATGTCATATATGGTCTAGGTGTACGCGCGAGTATGGTGTGATGTGTGACGTTTATGGTATGTGGTGCATGCAAGAGTACGCGTTGTCAGAGTGTGAGGATGTGCTTCCGTCTGTGTGAGCGTGACTGTAGAGTGAATGCTGCACATGCGCAGTGCTAGTTTGGTCTGGGAATGAGAGTCATGTGTGATTCGTCCGTGGTCTGGTTGTCTTGGCCTTGGTCATGTGTTCTGTACGTATTAGTCCCTGATTGGTCGTTTCGATGTGTTCGCCCTTTTCTCTGTTTTATAACTGTTGGTTGTTTATTATTTCTTTGTCTTTTCTCCCCGTTCTCCCGCCCACCAGTTAGTTATTTATTCCAAGAGATCTTATTCAAGAAACTGTGTCGTCCTCTTGCCCGCGTGGATGAGTCGGAGAGTGGTTGTGTGGCGGGGAGCGGGGGGAAATTCCTTTACATGTCTAACCTGTCTACCGCTCAAGAGAACGTAGTCTCTGGAACCAGGTGGTCTCCGTATCCTATGTTATTTGACTGGAAATAGCATGACGTGGACACGACGTAGATCTACATTGTGTACAGACAGTACATGTATACAGCGTGGTAAATTTATGACTGCCCTGACACAATGGGCACGCAAGTTCTGACCTGCAAGCCCTCCTAGTTCCTTCGTCAGCTGGCCCAACTAGGTTGCACTCCACCATGGGTCTGCGCCAACCGCCAGTTTGCACCAGGTTCGGCATGGGTTGCCTCGCGTTCCGGGGCGCCCAGCTGTGGAACACCTTATCCAGCGATATACGTGCCATCACCACGCTCCGCCCGTTCCGCGCCAGCATGATCCCGCACACCCTTAGTACCTAGAGTACCAAACGTCCTGTTTGATGATAAGCTGGCTTACAGTCCATTCATCGGAAGCTGGCCCGCTGGCTTTTGAAAGTCGGATTTGCGCCGAATTGAGGAGCAAAAACCCACTTTAAATCTCAAAAATCTGGGTTTTGGATCTGCTTCTCCATACATTTTGCCATGGCATACCTTTCCTAATTTTGTAAAACCTGGCTGAATTTCTATTTCCCTGTTCTTGGACTTTTCTGGCCTCAAATGTGGCAAGGAGTAATTGCACGGGTCACACAATGCAGGATGTACTGTTATTGTCACGATATCTTCAACTATGTGAGAGAGACACCAAAAAGTTAGGGTGCCAGTTTCCAATGAATGGACTGTAGTTTTTCTCTACCTCTATCCTTATTACATCCCTCCCCAATTTCATTTATTACTGCTTTCTATCTGCATTCGCCACCGTTTCATTGGGCAGATCTGCCCGTTTGGTTTGCGAATTAAAATAAACACAACAACAACAACAACAACAACAACAACAACAACAACAACAACAATCCGCGATTCGTGTTCCGACTACTTTTCCAAACGAAAAATGCGAAAGTTTGCAATCCAGTTCGCGAACTGAAAAATGTTTGCGAACGCGAATTTCGTCTTGCTAATCCTCCGAAGTGATTTGTGTGGGTATTTCCAAAGAAAACACCTCTTCATATTAATAGAAGCTAGTGAACAGAATAAAATCTCAGAACCTGTAGCATTTTGTACTCAAAGTTGTATAGTCTTGGTCTGAGCAGGCTTGCTGAACAGCGTACAGTTCCTGTTCCCTATCACACATGATCCCGTAGTGATACATACACCAGTCGCCGTACCAGAGCAGTGTACTGTGAACACATACACCTTTTCTTTCTATTAATATATTTTCTTTATGTTTCTCACCCGTGGTTGGCTTCCACCCGCTCCTCTTTGATTGGAAACTACATGCAATGGGATGTGGAATAAATAAAATACCTGTATACCTGTATACACGTGCGCTTGTGAACTACTTGTGAATATTCGGGTGGAGTAACACAGTATCTCACCAATGCCGCCAAGCTGTATCTCTTCCTGGGATTGTATTACAGACCAAATCCGGCTTTTCCTAGGTTACTTGTAAAATGCCTTGACCTGTTGGGAGTCCCCTAGTAAAACAATAAAACCTACCTACCTGCCTACCCACCCAACCACCAACCCACCCACCTACCTACCCACCTACCTACTTACCTACGCACCCACCCACCTAGTACCTATCTACCTACCTACCCACCAGCTGTCTGTCCACTGTGGACTGGTCATTGATAGACTCATACTGAGTGGATTGGTACTAAACTGACTTTGCCTTCCAAGGTTCACAACAACACAATTAGCCGATAAGCTAAGTGTGTCCCTTTGTGTTCGTTTTCATTTATGATTTTTCCTACTTGGCAAACAATGCCTGAGCAAGGCCCCACCTGATGACGCCAGATTATCTTTGTTGTGATACAGTAACTGACATGTAGAGGGGACGGTTTCAAATAGGACATAGGTTGCAAACCGGAACGGACTCAATATTCACTTTCTCTCTTGGTATTTTGATTAGAAAACATATGTCACAGTGAGACTACGATGTTTTATACTCCGAGCCAAAATTCCATGGCTCTGCGATGACCAGAAGCGCCATATCAAGCAGGTGAGTTTTTGACGTGGTGCTTCGCACTGCGACTTGAGTTTTACGACTTTCGAAAAATCAACTTCTTGTCGCAGGTAAACAGCGGCTCGCCTCTCGCCAATAAAGCACCGCATACCAATCAAAACTAATGGAAGCACACACAAGGCTTATTGTTACTCTGTACTGGCCGTCGTGGAGCGATAGCAATTACCTAATTTCAGACCCAGAGTGAATTTGATGTGCACTCTAAAACGTGTCCGGTTTGGAGCCACCTCTGATTTGAACTTTTTTGAAGCGAAAAATTTGGCAACTTGGAGGCAATGGGTCAACACAAAGGAGTGGCTCAGTTCGATTGACTCTGGCCCCGGAGCAAACTTCAACATGCCAGTTTCCTTCCACAAACATATTTCGAGTGAAAAATCAACGCTGATGATCGGTTTGGGTCTATACAAATTTGGCTGTCAAAGCGTCCCAGTATCGAGCCGTCCCCTCTACACGCTAGATCTACTCTGATTTCTCTTACACAATGTGTGTGTCATTATGTTTGCAAAACAGTATGGATTGTTTTCTATGTGAACACTTACCGGAGGACGAGCCAAGTGTTGACTCACGATCTGCCGACATTGGCTTCGTCGGATGGTCAGCTCCCCCACTGGCAGTTGCATCGCGTCGCTTTGCCATAGTGTTGGCAACATGTTTAGCAACATCGGGTTGGCTGTGTTGAATCAGCTTCAGGAACGAATCCACCTGTTCCTCCGTTTTCGTTAGCATTAACCTCACCACGTACTTTGTCAGATCAGACTTCACGTTCTCCTTGCTGGAGGCAGTTTTATATTCATCAACGTCCAGCACATCATCCTCCAGCAAGAGTTCCAAGATCACGGATGCATCTAGATTGGAAAGTAAGAAGGCTATGTTATAGCGCACCCTGTCTGCCATTGTTCACACTCCTGCCTGTCCGCGTGACCACAGTTCACTCGCACTGCGGACTGATCACGATCGACATCAAGTTACTGCATAACTTCTTAGGATCAAAGAGTTGTGTTTTCTCAAGGAATAACACGTCGTACTTTCAAGTACAAGCCGTTCATCAGTTGTGGCTCAGGTACAGAGCGAACTAACTTGATGAAGGCAAACAACTCTTTCGAAAATAACGCTTGAAATGTTCAGCATCAAGCTCGCACAGATCTACGCTCTTCGCTATCAGCACTAGGAAAATAATCCCAAGGAGATGACAATGTCAACGGACGGTGCGGTACTTCAGTACTGCAGTCTGCAGAGGCTTCGGCCGATGTTTTTGTTTAGGCAGGTGGCCTGGGGATGGGCTGGGCATGGGGTCTCCGACTCTCCGGTCGTGGTGGCCATGGCGCATGCGTGCATGAAGAAAGACCTGACATAGGTATTTTTTTGTCGTGTTCGGTTCCTTGGCAGAGTATCACACTGGCTCGCTGAGTGCATAAAGCCATAACATAAGCCAAGCTGCAAGGACTGATCCGAGAATCTAAAATTTTTAGATTCTCGTAATGATGATTAATTTTATGAATCGAGTAAACGGTTGGTCCTACAATGTCAATGGGCCGAATGGCAGTGATAATGGTCAAAGATTGAATAAAGCCAGACAGTTATAGAAAAACACTTGTTGATCCTCATGATTTCGATGACCACGGACCTGAGACTGGAGGATTGAGGCTGTTGGATATTATTTGAGCATCCATTCAAACGTCAAATGGAAATGCGATGGTCAACTGATCTAAATCGTTGCCTAACGTTACAATAGCGCACGTGTCTGGTTGCTCTACGGTATCCGTGCAGTTCCGTTCGGTACCTGTATGGTCCAAGAGTATACGACAGTGGACTGGAAATTTCGGACAGGGGACGAGTGACCACTTCTAGCGAGCTTTGTGGCCAATGACGTGGCCAGGGTTGTCCGCGACTATTACAGTGAGTGAAAGCAGAAAGTATAGTCCAGGAGCAGAAGCCTCTTGAGGAACGTGCAAGCTATGGAAAAAGGCATGCAATGGCGGCCACAGTCACACACGTAGCAAGTAGAGGCTTGCTGCAAAGAAACAACTTCGTCTTTGTGCTCTGCCCGTACAATACAGCAAAACAACAACAGAGTTGCATAGCCAGTGGCTGACGACTCTCTTACGGCCGTTGGAAAGCGCAACTGTGTTTCAAGTGTCAAAAGAACGCTCAGTGCTGAACCCAACCTACCCAATACATAGACTGTAGAGCCATGAAGATCTTGATTGGTGGGACACACGGATCAATGAGCACCGCTGGAACTGTATTCTGGAAAGTATGCCTCACTGACCTTCTGTGAGGACAGTGCAGAGCATGATTTTTATGATCAATCAAAAACTGCTGTTTGCTGTTACGTGCACAATGATATGTACACATGCTCACTGGAATGAACTGGCAACGCCGGTGTTGGTGAAGGGAACGGCCAATATCTCCAACCTAACCTGGCAGCCGTACAAAGGCAGCATCATGATAGCCAGCTTGCCTGACGAGTTTATCATCGCTCAGTATCCAGAACCGTTCCAACAACTTTCCCACAATGAAGTGATGATGATGGAAGCAAGGTAGCCAAATGCCAAGCTGGAATACATGTTATCACTGGCTGCATACTGGATCAGAAACTGAGCACGGAGGACAGCTTTCACAGCAGAGATAATCAGCCATGTATCAGTGGTGGTGGGTGCAGATAGCAGAAGCCAAGAACGGAGAAGGAAAGATAAAATTGACAGCAGAGGTACGTTGTTGTTGTTGTTGTTGTTGTTGTTTTTGTTGTTGTTGTTGTTGTTGTTGTTGTTGTTGTTGTTGTTGTTGTTGTTGTGGTTGTTGTTGTCGTCGTCGTCGTCGTTGTTGTCGTCGTTGTCGTTGTTGCTTATGTCTTCATTTGTGTTGGTTTTGAAAACAAGTAAACAGTAGAACCCCCCCCCCCCCTCCACACACACACATCACCATCACCATCACCACCACCATCACCATCACCATCACCATCGCAACCTATCCGGAAAGGCTGGGACCGGACCCTGCCTATAACTGGGAATTTCCCGAAACTTGGAATAGTTTTGTTTTTCCCGTCTGAGCGTAGACGGAAGTCCTCTGATTAGGGCAGTTTTACTGTACTGTCAATATTGTAGCAAGCTGGGTGGAATCATGACTATGGGTGAAACGAATTCACCGAGTATTCTCACATGATTCGTTTTGAGAGCATATCGGCCAGGAGCCATCATCAGTAATTTAATAAGTTACTTCTTCAAACAAGTATGACTTTGTTATCCACTTATCCACTTAGGGGAAGTTAAGCCGTTAGTCAAATTTTCACCTGTTGTAGTCTTCAACGTGCTGAGTCGAATGGTCTTGGTCCGAGCAAGCTGAGACTCCCTTCCTTCTTTATTCCCAATCGAACTCGCCACTTCCACCAAAACTGGGTGACTGCGCCCTACTGGATAGGGATTTGTATGCAAAATGTCACTGAAAGCACCATTTTGTTCTTATAAAAGCACGGATGAGCGCGATTGGCCCATATGTTGTAGTCTTTTGGACGCTAAGTATACTGATATTGGTCCGAAAAGGCTGCAATGCAGCGTTCGGCCCTTATTCCCAATCGAACATGGTTGAGTAAGCGGTCAAGTGCTCATGCGGACACCAGTAACTTGGTCACCGAGCCTGCAGGGTACAGCTGACAGCCTGCTTGGGCGCGTTCATGTCACTCGAGTTTAACTTGAGTTGAACCTTGGTGTGAAAGTTGTAGCATACCGGCACGGTGACCAGGTGACTTGTGCACGCATGAGGACGTGACCGCTTAATCAATATGTTCGATTGGAAATACGGGCCGAATGCTGCATCGCAGCTTTCTCCAACCAAAACCTCTTGACTCAGCGTCCGAAAGACTACAGCATATGGGCCAATCGGGGTCATCCGTGCTTCTATAAGAATGAAATGGCGCTTTTACAAATCCCCATCTCAGTGACTGGGATGCAGTCACCCAATTTCGGTGGAAGTAGCGAGTTCGAAAGGGAATAAAGGAGGGAGGGCGCGTCTCAGCTTCCTCGGACCGAGTTCATTCGCCTGAGCACCTCGAAGACTACAACTGGTGAAAATTTGATTTTAGGCTTAACTTCCCCTTTAAGGTTTGTTTTGAACCAACTTAACCAAAAACATTTCAAGCACACAACTCCTTGCAATATGAATACTAGTATAGATGAAATGTCTGACTGTCATGTACATTGTACAAATCACTGGGTTTTGTTTGCAACGGAAGTTGTCATTTGCTGTTTATGGGTTTTTAGTATTTATTTTCAATGGGAGATCAAGGCGCTATCCGTATCTGCCAGTATTTATCACACGTGAACAAAACGGAGGCTTTTTGAGATCCTCCTCCAAAGCGTGCACACATGCATGTAGTGAGTGAACTGTTCGCCTCAGTTGTATGTGTACACTGCTCTGCACATTTGTGCATTGAGAACTCTGCTTTGAGGTGCCTTGACCGGCCTTGTTAGCACATGTAGTGAAGTCAGTACGATTCCTTTGAGAGATGATTAATTAACATGAAAAGAAGAAGTAAATTATCGTGTCCGTTCCCAAAGGGAACTCACGATGGCCGCTAACACCCGGCAAACCCTAGCGGCAGATGCAGCGCCTAACGGTGGGGGTGAATGGATAAGTCTCACAACCACTGGCAGAAGTGCCGAGAAACCCCATTACGGCATTAGCTGCATCCATGTACCCCCTTGTACCTGGCCACAAGTTCCCAGTTGACTGTGGGTTGCAGCGCTGCTGGAAAAAACGCTCCCAGGCAGGACTTGAACAAGGTACCTCTCGTATCTCAATCATGGTCTTTGACCAACCCACTGTGCCTGCCTGGAATTAACATTCACGTGGAGTATAGTGGGATGAGGAGGGTGGGTCAGAATTTGAAAGCTGTCTTCAGGCAAGGGAACTGGAAAGGACAGCAAGCTCTGTTGTTCGCACGGGAAGTCTGCACATGCGCAGATCATGCGGGCATGTGATGGGGATGTTACACAGCAGTACCGTATTATCTCTAATATAAGCACAGTCTCCAATAATAGCACGTCTCCAATAATAGAACACCTTGGGGCGGCATTCAAAAAATAAAGTGCTCAGTCTCCATTATAAGCACACTGTGTAAATTCATTATCTGTACCGGCGAAAAAACCCTGAAATGTGTGTCTGACATGAATTTGGCATGGCAACATGCCTCTGAAATGAGGTTGAAATAATAATGGAACAGTCTCCAATAAAGGAACGTCTCCATTAATAGCACGGGGCGGAGGTACATTGAAAAAATAAAGGACCGTGCTTATATTAGAGATAATACGGTATGTAGAGAGAGCAAGATCGTGCGCACACGTAACGAGGGCCATGCGACCCGTTACAAAGAGCCAATAGCGGAGCGATGTTACGTGACTGTTAACAACGGTTTAACTCAACGGTTTAACTCAATGGTTTAACTCATACGTAATTCATATGTTAACCGAACATTATTTAAAAAAAATGTTGGTATAGTAAGTGTTCTTGGAAAAAAAGGAGAAATCACTGTATCCACCCGCACCCCCAACATATGTTTTGTACCGTCATGAGGATTTATGACAGTTATGTACGGGTATGTTGATACTCTTTTTATGCTCACACTTCACATTGTTTGCTGGCTATCACAGGCAAGTATGGACTACCTGACAGTGTTCAAGTACTGGAAATCACCAACACAGATCATGCAGTTTGTCCACCAACCAGTGCAATGCTAACTGATAGCCGAGTAGCAAGGTAAGACCACGTTCAGCTGAAACTGAACCAGCTGATTACACTCGTGTGATGTATTTTCACGACTCCTGGATTTGATTGTCACCAACAGCACTGTCAGGCGCTGAAGAGCGAAGCGCCGAAGCACGACCAGGCTAGGATTTCACCCAGCACAGCATACAATTGAAGGAACGGTGACTTAACTCGGCATAGACCTTTTAATGCATGAAAATAAGCACACGGTCTAGGCCAGGAGGCTGCCCCCCCCCCCCTCCCCCCGTCTCTTCAGTTCTTTGGCAACCGACAGCACTGTAGACATTTGCACCCAAAGGCCATACCCATAGTTTGCTAGAATATTATGTCATGTGAAAATATGTTGCTGTGACAATACCCCACTTATTCAGGGATAGTTTTGACTCATTTATTCAGTAAAATAGAAGAAATCACATGGAAACGAGTTCTGAAGATACTATCCATGACTGCAACAAGATAATGAGCAGTCAGAAAGTGCGATAACAGATAATAATGCACAAATCTG